AAAACTGGTTGGTATATGACACTAAATTAACTTTATGTTCCTTGCCATTTCTTGAAGCACAGAACGGAAGGTTACCTGGCATGGTATTTAAAGTACATATGACATATGTTTAATAAATACCTATTGATTGACGATCCTGGGGATACAGTTCAAGCCTGCTCATTTTACATTAAAAAGTATGAAGAGTTTGCATAAAATATGGGCAGGAAAACACCTAGCTTGATAAGCAAATAATTAAAGGAATAACTACTTTTCCTTGAATAAACTGCCAGTAGTAAAAGGAAATCACATTATAGAATATAATTAAAAAAGCTTTCAAGAATTCCAGTGCAACAAGAATTCTTTCAGGAAGACATCAGCCAAAAGGAATAACACTTGTGTTAATTCCGACTGCCTGGAAGTGAACGAACGTTCTAGCATTGACACAGTTTGTTGAAGGGTGCATCTTTTTCCTTTTAAGTCAAAATATTTTATGAAGGAAATCATTTGCATTGAGAAAGCTGCTGTGGGATTCATAGGCTATGGAATATACTTTTTATTCATCAATTCTCATATTATTGCCAAAGGATCATCTGATATACCTAACATACCTACAAACTGTGAAATTGGTTTGCTATTGTTACGAAGAGTGAGTATTCAGAAAAAGGATTAGTTATTACAAATCAGCTTCATCAGAAGTAAAAATTAATGATTCAGTAGATGGAAATATCTAAATAAATCTTTCTAAAACCTTCCCACGTTTTTCATCAAAATACAAAAATCAAATGTATTATGATTGTCATGATAAAAATTTTTTCAGTTATGTTGGCTAATCAATAAATATTCCTTAAACCCATTTAGAATTTGTTCCCTTTTTATTTTTACTTTATTTATCCTAATTTTAATGGTTTAGAAATTATGTCTTCATCTAGATGACATTCAAATTAATTTGCAAATAATCAACAATAACAATGTGTGTATATGTATATATATGTGTGTGTGTGTACATACACACACACACACACACACACACACACACACACACACACACATATATAACAGTTACACAGCCTCTAGTTTCTCTCAAAGGTAATGACTATCAGTAACTCAGAGATTTCTCAAGAGGGGAAGGTGAGTGGGGAGTACCGTCCTCCCACTCACCTAACCATCATAGGGCATAGACCGGTAGTTTTTAGGACCATATAAAATTGTTTTCCTGAAGCCCTGATTTTGAGAATGGTTGACTTATAATTCTAACATGGAGAGAAAGAGTCAAAACACAACAAACTGAATTTTTACTAACAAAAATACATCACCAGAAAAGAAGACTGTTAATGCTTGTATCCTGATATTTGGACAGTTTTGAACCAAATAGCTGAACGTTAAAGAAACTTCCCCTCAAGACTTAGGTGAATGGAGGGAAACCACAGGAAGATAATACAAATGGGAGAAAAACATAAATATAAAGTGAATTAAATGGCAGTGTCCTGGAGTCCTTTATCCAAGAACTTTGAATAGACGTCTGACAAAATTAGAAACTCTTTTCAGATATTTTTGGCTCCACAACTAAGTTATTATAGACAAGGTATGGATAACCTATACCCCAAAAAAGTTTGTTTTAAATAAAGCTAAATTCAACAAACTTTGCTATTATCAAAGTGAAAGGGCTGAGATTCACTAAAAGGGGGAGGAAGGTAGGAAATACTTTATTAATTCAAGAACCGTCTTGGTTTTCCCTACCCCCAACTCAACAGCGCTAAGATTTCAAGGAAGTAATTAGTAAAGAGAAGCCACTGAGCAATCTCAGAACCCAGGTTTTGTACCATAATGAATTAATCACTCTCTTCCATTTTTTAAAATGCTTTTCCTAATGTTTTTATAAATCAGCTAATATTAACAACTCAATTTGTAAGACAACAGTGTGTGTATGTGTGTACGTGTGTGTACCCATACACAGAGATGTGTAAATGTGTGTGGGGGGGTACAGATGATATATAATGACCCTGAATCAAACACCTTAGGAACCATTTGAATAAACTGAAGATACTACTAGCAAATGTTATGTAGGAAGTCATTTATTCAAGACACCAACAAATTTCTGAAAATTATTTTTTTAAATGAGAATACCTGATTTGGGCACTGATTATTTTTTACCATCAGATATTAATTATTTAAAATCGCAAAATAGGATCTGTTCAATGTTATCATGAAACAGTTCTATGAAATGTATATTTATTGTCATTCCATACATTTCTAGAGAAAAATCACACAGTAGAAAAGGCAAGTCACTTCCTCCTTGCCCCACACGTAGGACACTGTAATGAGTAAGGCAGCCAGAAAGATTGCTGTGTTTCACCTCTTTGGAGAAATAATTGGAGACATGATTTCAGGGTTTCTGTACAGGGGAGGGAATGAAGCAATTAGTTGAAATGCTAGGGGCAAAACAAGTGGGCGCTCTCACCCCACTTGCCAACTCAAAGGCTAGAAGCCAACCTCTCAGTGTCGTATTTGCCTAATGAATTGGAAGAGTGGCTTTGCATACCTGCATGTATGTATTTTCAGTTATGTACAGACGTATCTCTGTGGGAAAGAATAAGACAGGTCACGATGATAATTGTGAAAGGGAAGAATTAGAATTAATTTTATTTAGTATGCCAGAAACAGAATTTCTAATGGCACAGTAAGAAAAGTGGAGTTTGATGTAAAAGAAATATCTTCTTCAAGTTGGTTGAAAAAAAAAAATCACATCCTTCAAAAAAAAAAACTCTTCAAAACAATCATTGGCCAGGAAAAGTGTCTGTTGTTCAGGAGGAAGAAATATTGCATGTTTTTCATTACTCTACTAATGTAATATGCACATGGAAGCCAGATAGATAAAACAAACTCTAGTGACACAGCCAACTTTTATACTCAGAAAGCTCCCACAGTAGATAGATGATGTTAATACAAGGTGGCTTTAGGGAAAATTTTAAAAAAAAATCAGTGAATAAATGAAAAGCCTTTTGTTTAATGATTAACCTCTCTGTTCAACTACTGAACAGTTTGTTATTTTTAACATGTAGAATTTATTAAAGGTTTCATAGATTTTCTTCTTAATTTTCACTGTAAGACAATGAAGTAGCTATTATGATTGGGGGGCAGGGTTTGCTGGGGATTGAATCTAGGGCCTCGTACATGCTTGGCACATACTCCTGCACTGGGTTAACCCAAGGCCTAAAGGAGGTATTATTATTAATCATATTTTACAGATAACAAAACAGAGAGTCATATTGGGTAATAGGACACTGAAGTGGAACAATCAGGATTGAGCCTGAGAACATTCTATGCCCAATGTCCTTGTGATTCTAGATGGATTAATAATAAACTCTGAACCCATTATCTGGAAATTGCATACTTCCTCAGGGAAAGAAGGATGGCTGGGCAGTGCCATGGGCTATGTTGAGATCAGGACTCCTTGAGTCTCAGATTGTGACTGTATTTGGAGATGGGGCCTGTAAGGAGGTGATTACATCTGACAGGTGTCTTTCTAAGAGGAAATGAAGATATACAAGAAGATGCCACAAAAAATTATTTTTTAAAAAAGAAAGAAGATGTCACAGGTATGTGCCCAAAGATAAATGTCACATTAGGATAGCCTTCTGCAAACCAGGAAGAAAGGCCTCGGAATGGAACTAACTCTGATCTTGAATCTGACCTTGAATTCTACCTTCCATAAGTATGAGAAAATAAACCTCTGTCCCTTAAGCTACCCAGTCTTTGGTATTTTGTTAAAGAAACCATGGCCAACTAATATAGAAAGAAAGAAGAAATCATCCAACATTGTAACATGCACAAACTGTAAATGTTACAGCAGTTCATCTGTTTTTCAAGACAGAACTAGGAGCTCTTACAGATTCTGGCTTCATCAATGGATAGGAACGTGTCCCATTCCCAAGGATCATGGGATTGTGGTTGTGTCACCCTACCACACTTTTTCCAACAACATCCCCTCCTGCTACTCTCTCTTTCACATAGAAATGTGGCTGAAATGTCCCTGCAACTCCAACACACATGCCCTAACAAGCTAGGTACATGATAAATTAAAAGCATTTCAAGGCATGGCCCAATGTTGTTACCTCAGATCTTGCTAGAATAACATGACATTTATAAAAAATACAACCCACTGGATGTTTGGCACTGCTTGGGAATGAAGAATATGTCCACTTAAGAGCCAATACCCCAGGCTGTCAAAAAATCTCAAGCCAGGATTTCTTTTATAAACATTACCTATCTTTAAATTCTTCAGTCTAGGAGGTGAAAAAGGGGCCTGCTTATTTCTAGAGTCTCCTTTCACCCAAACACAATAAATGTAAACCATACACAAGAAAATGTTAAAATCATACTCAAGGCACATTGACAGAACAACTCTGTGTACCTGGCAAACAGCCTCCACACTATCATCCATGCTTGGGCCATTCCCAACCCAATGTCACCTACACACAGCACCCACACCACCAACGTCTGCCCCCTCTAATCCCAGCACACTCTGAAATCGGGTATTTATAGATTATTTTTTCAGATACCAGCCAAATAATGTCACAGTGCACCCTCTCACCCACGTTAGACCATACAAATTTTAACATCTGGAAGGATAAACTCAGCCCTAAACACGTGACAAGGGTACACAGTCATCTAGGAGTTCTCAAGCAAGGGGGATTTGCCAACTTCCCTCTGAGGTCCAGACTCTGAAAGGCCAACTGTGGTATGTCTGAGTTTCCATCAGGCCTGGTGCTTGCAGGCTGCTGCTATGTCAGGAAGAACCCCACAGATCAACTGTCCTATAAACGTCTTGCCCCTCTGCTGAGTGCTGTTGGTGCAGCCTTCCTTCTCCGGCCCGAGAATATGCTGAGAGTCACAGGCTGAATGTTAACTAACACAGGAGCACAGCTGACTGCTCTCTTCTACAGGCCAGTGGCTGCTCTAAGAAAACACATTCACGTGAACATAACAAGAACAGGAAGAGGAGCCCAGATTTTCCTCACCATGTGCCACCCAGCCATGTTTACACTGATCGCAAGTCCTCAGGTTAATCTTCCCCGGCTGAAAACATTCACATGTGCAGTTTACCAGCGTGCAACGGATGGCCTGAAAAACAGAGCAGGAAAAAAGATCAGCATCTGTTCAAAGGTACTATACTTTTTTTCACAATTTTTAATAAATAATTCCCACTTCTATTTTTAAAGGCTATTTATGTTAGTGGAGACCTAGAGAATTTTGAAAATAAATGTTGATATCATCAAAATCTCTTACCAAAAAAAAAAAAAAAAGGTAAGAGAAACAAAGCTCATTCAGAATCATGTTTTAAGTCACTCATAGTAACCTTTAAATTAGAAATGTAGATCAAGGAGAATAAGAATAAAGGATCATATATTCCTCAAAATGCAGAGATCCAAAAAAGAAACAAATGGTACTATTAATTTATTTCCATTTAAGTTTATCCACTTTCTAATAATGAAAAAGAAAATACATCCTAATAATGTTAAAGTGAAATGTTTATACAATTAAATGCAACAGAAAAATATTGTTACAATATTACTTCTGAATTTCATTTAAATACTTTGCTAATCTGTCAGATATATTTTGAGAGACACTCCTGTTTTCTCAATAAGACTTAGCATATTTATATTATTATCTATCATTTTCCCTTAGGGATTTTTTCTTTGATTATTAATTCTTACTTTCTTTCTCATTTTGCAAACTATAAAACAATTCTCCTTTTATTTTAATGGTGATAGAAGAAAATAAGTTTCATTTGACTTTTTAGAGCAGAATGCAGGAAAAGCCATTTATGTGAACATTTTATACCTGTAACAGTACAACTATATCTTAGAAAACAGAAACCCACACAAAAACTCTTTCATTTCCTTACCAGGACTTTAAAAATTCATCTTGCCAGTTTATATTATAAAGTGAATCCATTGAAAATTAGCATAAATAGAGTGTAACATTTTATGAATAAAAACTTCTGGTAAAGAATTGTGCTAATGCTGACCTGTGCTCCTAGACTACAGTTAATAAATTTATCTCATACATTTAATTCTAATTTGCATGGAAATTCTGAAGACAGAAGGGATTTGGTCTGATCATTCACAGATTAACAATCTACTGTAACTACCTGAACTGCCCGGAAAAGATCTCTCTGCAGATTTAGATGCTATCAGAGATTACTGATCTTGGGTGGAGGCATGGGTTCTGTGAGCACAACTCAGCTCTGTATCTGAAAGCTACACTCACCTCACATGCTCACATTCCTGGAACCATTTGGATTTTTATATAAACTAGCTGAGTTGTAACAGGAAGTATGTTAGGTAATCTTAACATGTGCAGAGACTAAGGCTGAAGGGGCTTCTCCTGTTCCTTATGTTCTGGATCAGGCAACTTTTAAGTAATTTCTCTTTCACTGATTTACATTAACTCAACGGGTGCTTCTTCAGTTTCAGATGTTGGAGTCCTCACTGTTTTCTTCTTTGATACTTCACTCTCACTCCTAATTTGTTTTTTCTGTTTGCCTCTAGGGAAATAATTATAAAATCTGCCTGATATTTCAGGGACTGTCTTCCAATGTCATTTGTCCAATTATATATTAGCTAGGCTGTAAACTTTGCTGCATGTATCAGCAATTAAAGGAAAGCATAGGTTATAAAGGGAAATAATTCTCCCCAAAGTTCTTATTTCAATTTCAATGTTTTTTTTTTTACTTAGCAATGTATCAGAACATTCTAACTGACAAATAGTTTCTTTATATAACATATTTGTTAGCAAACTCACAATTTGACTGTACTATGCTCCCCCAAAAGTTCAGAGTACAGTATTTCCACTAAAAACAAGATGCTTTACAATCTACCAAATTATAAATTCAGATATGAAAACTGTATTAACATTAACATTTGAAGTGCAATAATAATAACATTTGCAAAGAATATTTTTTTTAAAAAAAATCCCTCTGCTTTATCAAAATCAAGGGAAGGACAATAAAAAGAAATTATTTTTCAAGGACTATCTTTAACCCAGGCATCAGCAACATAAGCCACTTTAAATCACTGATTTGGTGATATTATTTTACAAAAATGCCCTAATTTGGTACCATGTTTAAAGCACATCTTCAACTTTCATTACAGCTATATTCAATACCAGAATAGATTGGAGACTGTAGGTTTGCTTTATATATATATTTTATCACTAGCCGAATCATTCATTCACTCACTCTGAACTACTTTATTATTCAAATATTTTCTCTTCCTAAATAATTTTATATGTCTGGTACATTTGGGAATTAAACTTCTCAGATCATCATCCCTTTCTACGAATTCTACTCTTTTTGTACCTAAATATATAAACACTGGAACACCTCAACTCCTTTTGTATATAAACACTTAAACACTGGAATAGCCATTTTGTATCTCTATGAATTCCAGAAGGTCTATTTGTTTTAAATTCAGACTTATATAGACTAAAATTATTCCTTAAGGGAATTATATATATTTAAACAATATGGTCTAAATAAATATTTTGAGTGAGAGACTATTGTGGCTTCAAAGTAAGTTTTATTCTAAACAACATTTTTTGAAACTGCATAAAACTTTGACATGCTATTTATTCACAACAAAACAGAACCAATGTGATCACTTGCCAACTCACCCACACTTAAAAAACATAAATTATCATAAAACTATCAAAGCCCGTTATGCCTCAAAAATGCACATGCATTACAAGAAGAGTAGAAATGGATGAGCTCTCATTCTGGTAAGCAGGTTTGCTTCTTCCTTCCCTGGGCAAATCAGGAGTGCCTCCTGTGGGGGCACTCAGTGTAAGACCAAGCTATATGCATCACATTATCTGAACTACAGACATTGGAATTCCAGTGATGAAGAAAAGAGCAAACAGTTCATAGTCACACTACTCCCACCTCTATGCAGGGAACAGCATTCCTGTCTAGCTGATGCAGATACCAGTTCTCCAGGACCCCCTTCATCAGAGGTGCTTTGTAACTCTTTCCTCAATTCTTCTATGATTATCATTTCCCCAACCGCTGGAGGACAACAACTTAAATTTTCTTCAGCCTGAATTTATTGAAAATAATTATTCCTTCTGCTTACCTGAACCAGGGATTTATTGAAAGAGAAATCCATGCACTCAGCAACCAGTGCTTCTACTTCCTGGCCACCACCTACATTTTATCTCTGCCGTCTGTCTGAATTCTGCCCCTCACTCCCTCACAATGCACTCTCTGATAGGCAATGTTCTCATCACATCTGGTCCCCTTTTCTAGTCTCCTCTAGCTCCTAGACGTTGATGCAGCTTGCAGCACTAACTCCTTCATTCCTGGGCGGTAGAGACGGACTATCCTAGTTTTTCTGGCAGCAACGTCTCACTTTCTCTCCACTGTAAATAAATACAGGTGTTTTCCAGAGCCAGACTCTTCATTCTTAAATTTGGTAATTTCATTCTCTCCTAGGGCTTTAAATATCGCTATGTAAAAACCCATCACTTTGTAGCCAGGGACTGTGCTAAGTGGCAGGAAATGCAAGGCAGTGTCCCTGTGCAGGGGGCCTGACAGTTTGGCACTCATGGAGAGTGGATTTAGACCACAGGCTCGAAGAAGAAGGAAGTCCTTAAACCAGTTTGAGAAATGTCATCCCTTTCTCTCTATTACCGGTAAATTTTTATTCATTTTTGCAATAGTAAAAAATTGCCTGCAACTTACTGAATATTTTACCATTTTCCAGACTTTGATAGGTAGTTGACAAATACTAGGTCTCTGAATCCTCAGAAAATATCGTGAGCTTGATATTATTACTCCTTTAATTTCACAAATAAGGAAACTGAGTCAGAAAGAACTAGGCACCTTGCCAAAGTCATTCAACTAGTACAGTCAAAGGTGTAAGTTTGTGTGAGTGTCCCTCTCAAGTGATTAGGGATCTTGAATTAGAATCTCACTACCAGAGAGGCAGTCAGGGAACAGAGCAGAGCCTTCCTCCAAAAATGCTCTCTCTCTCTTTCCTGCCTTTCACTTGGTTACTATCCTAATTCCAGTCTTTTTTTCTAGATTACTCAAAGGGGCTCTAATTAATCTACCCATTCCTCTTTTCTCCCCATCCCAGTGAACATTCTCTCTTCTCAAATTCCCACATATTTGACTCTTCCATGTGGCATTTGCTTTACTGAGGCTACATCTTTGACCTCTTGTCAGCAAAAACAGTGGGTGGGAATCCTATCTGATTAGCCAGTGGAGCCGTCCCTGTCCACTGCCTATTTCTCCAAGGCAATGTTCTCCTCTCCACCTGACTACCTTCCAACCCCTGCTCTGCACTGTGAGCTTCTGCTATTCTTCAGACTTCACTCTGATATCACTCATTCCCATGGCAACTGTCCTAGTCTCCCATTCAGAGCAAGTTCCCTAGCAGTCTCCTGCATCACAAGGATCTGTCTGTCATAGCACTAATCACAGGTTATGACTACTGTATTGACCTGTGTGATTATTTGATTTGGGTTTGTATTTGCCTCTAGAATTTAAAAGGTAAGATGTCTGCTGGGCTTGTATGCTGGCAAATAAACAGGTGCTCAAAGGGCACTAAAATACATGATTCCCCAAGCTCCTTTCCTCAAATGTAAAATGATGGTAGCAATGACATCAGAACTGTGTCAAAAGACTCACATGAAATAATATAGAGTACATGGTACCCTGCCTGGCAACAATAGAAACTCAATAAATGACAACCATCTTTATTGCCTCCAGAAACTTTCCACATATTATATTTGAATGATTCTTTTATTCCCTTATAATTCTTCCCAATATATTGTTTTATTCTAATACCTTGCAAAATGTTTAATGCATATTTAGTCTTAATGAATAAATGAACACTTTGTATTTGCATTACACATAATACCATATCATTCATACTATAACCCTATAAGGTAGGCACAAGGATTATTATCTCTTGTTTTAAGGCTCTTAAATGATATAGTGGAGAGGAAGACAAATCTCTCAATTACTACTGATAGTTTCAGCTACTCAGAGGCTAAGGCAGGGGGATTGCTTGAGCCCACTTGGGCAACAAAGCAAGACCCCCCCCAAAAAAAAAGAA